CCCTACCAGCCGTTAATATTCTCCGTCCGTATCGGTTATTCCGAGAGAAAAGACGAGGGAACGAGCACGCGGGTGCGACGACCCAGAAGCATCGACGCGTATACACGTGATAAACACTTCGGAAAAATCGGTGGAAACCAATCAGATTCGTGACATTTTCTATAGTTTACCGGACGTGTTCCGTGGCAATTTCGTCGGGAAAGCGAGGCTGCCAATAAATCTGAAATTATGCTGCACCTTCTTGCGGTTTCTTTCGGTCCTTTCATCCCTCTCCTCGAGGAATGCCTCGACGAGGATTTGGTGGCAACCGAAGCGAACACAGTCGATGACTGGCGTCTGAGTCGGGCGAAACGCGCTATTGGCGCTTTATTACAGCAGTTTGCACGGAAATAGATTTTCCTGCGTACCTTTCGCCGGACATCTTACACCATCGATCTCCTCTCCACCCCTCCTACACCCCATTATCTTCCTCGCCGTCTTCGAAAATTGTTCCTCCGTTCTTTGCATTCCCCATTCCCCCACCTACGTAGTCTACTCTTCATTTACCGATTCATATTGTGAAATCGAGCGGAAGACCTGCCTCGAGTTTTGCCATTTCGACGGGGTCGATCGATGCCTTCCCCTTCGTTTTCAAGCGGATTCGCGTCGCACGACGATCTCCGCGATTTCTCCATTCCCCGAAACCAGTGTCGAGTTCCTCGAAACGATCCGAATTGGTCTCCGTCGTTAATTTTTTCTCGGAAAATCTCGATCTACGACCTTCCACCGAGTCGCAACGGGGACTCTCTCCCCGCGTCGCCTTCCCACCGATTCTTTCTTGCTCGACGTCCTCGACGATAGCCCCGTTATTTCTGGAAACGTCCTCGCATCGCGGACCAATGAATCGAGCCGAGTTGTATTTGGGACACTTCGCTGCGTCTCTGGCTGCTGCCTTCTCGCCGAAAAAGATCGACCCGTGCATTTCCGGGTGTGTACATCAAAGTGTCCGCCCGTAAGGGTTTCTCCACTGTCCTAATCCGAGAAAGACAAACGATATTTCCTTTCACGCGGCTCCGGTGTACCGTTCATCACTTCGGGATCTTAGTTCGCGTGGAAACCGATATAGCGTGGATGCACCGGTAAATGAACACTACGTATAAAAACGAGTGTATTAGGTTATTAACATAAGCAAATGTTTAAATATAGATTTTTGTCAATTCCTTTTCTCATATTCAAACAATTTTCACACGATTGGTTGGAAACAACACTATCTATACCGTGCACACATTGAATATTTTTCGACCAATCCTCTAGGATCTCGAGCCCCGCGTCGCCATAATAATTCCCCTCGTTTATTGTATTATTTGGCATTACGCCTTGGCCTACGTTCTACGTTCACCGTACTCGAACGCCGCCGGAAGTGATGTTAGCAAATCACTTGTAGCATTACCGTTCCCCCACGAGAATTAATTCTAAGCTAAGTGTTGTACCACGAGACAGTTATGATGCAACGGGGGCTGAACTATGCGCGTAACTTGGCCAAACTTCTTCCGCGAACTTCTCCACGGTTCGCGCATGGCTCGTTGATAACGTCGAATTCGCGGATGGCATTCGACGATACTAACGACGTCGTAGACTTGCCATTCGATCGTCCACGGTCAAAGAGCAAACCTACTTCGAACTCTACACCGAAAGACTAAACTTCCTCGTGTAGTAAAAATTCCATGATAAAGCCTTTTTATCACAACAGTGAATAATGCTCCTTATAGCTACTTTTTCAGCATTGTGGAGCGCAGGAAGGTCGCTCGACGCTATAAATATTCCATTCTTCTGTACCGTCTCGTGCGTCGCCACGGATCCGTGAATTATAGCGAATTTCGAGCAGAGGCACAGGCCAACGAGGGGGGCAGGCGAATAAATGCAGCGATCGTTCGCCTCGCCAGCGCGCCAAACTACTGAAACTTTTCTTCCGAAACGACCCAGTCGTTTATCGTTTTTCCCCGTGACTCGGTGACGGTCGAAAGACTCGGAAGGTCCCAACGGAATGAGCTACGCGGACCCAGAGTATTATCGTGAACCGAGAAGGAAATCGCAGTCGACGAAAACGAACCCAGTTAGCGGAAGAGTTGCTGTCTCGCGGAGATTGAAAAGTAACGACAAAAAAAAACAAGCCACAGTCGTTGGTTTCGCCGCTAAAACATCCCCTTCTTCTAAATCTACTCTCCTGGTGCCCTCACCACCCCACCTGGCTGAACATAAATCAGCGCCAAAATCGTGAGATCAGTCGCGATAAATTTTCATCTAAGTGCTTCAACAGTCTTCCCTTCCAACGATCGTGATCCCGTTTGAAAAGTTTTCCCAGACGAGTTGTTATTCCCCAGTTCGCTGCACTCGGTGTCAGGGGTTCATTTATTGACCCAAGGAAGTCACGTAGCGACGAATTTTTCCGGACGAGCTGCACGAACAAGTATTCCTTTACCACTTTACGATCTATGGTAAGTTCGGGTTAATTGGACGCATTGATCTGATTCTTCTACGGGCTGTTTCCGTTCGTATAATTTTCAACTGTAAACTATTTATCGCGCGAAAGACGATTATGTACAACCGTACGGAAGTTTCGAAAACATCGGGGACAAGTTGAAGGTAGCATCGACGATGTGCGTTCGCAACGACCCGATAACAGTATCACGTTCACGGGGATAAGACAAACTGCTCACAACTTTGCGTGTGTTCCAGGCGAACTTCCACTTATCGAGATACTTCTTCTATTACAAACACTAGCATGTTTCTCTATATTTCACATCGAACTTTGTAAGAACAGAACCTAGGGGGAGGAACCCCAGAATCTCGATTATAAGTTATCGATACTTTCGTTTCTCCATAAGTCCATTCGAATCGAACAGCTCTTCGAACAGATAGATTCAAACAGTTAAATTTAATCATCCGTATCGAATTGTTACAGCGAAGTTTTCACGCTGCTCGTATAGATCGCAGATCGTACAGCATGCAAAATTATCCACGTGTCTACGGTTCCCTCGTGAATCACAAAATAATTCGCCCTCATTAAAGCCCCACTAAGTCTCGCGAATAGCACGATTCTTTCGTGTCCCATAAAAATGTTGGCAAACGATGCAGACGAAACGCGTATGTATTCGCCTTTTCTCCCGTGACACGTAACACATTCCCCGCGGTTTAAATAACAAGAGACAACGGTGCGAGCAGATATCCAGAAACTGCGACAGGACGTGGCTTTATTCGACTGGTACTGGGCAACCTAATTACGTTCCCGACGTTCCATCGATCACACTGGGTCGGGCGCATTCCACGAATACTTCTCGATCTGTAATCGGGCGCGATCCACGGTTAATATCCAGATTGAGATTTCGACGGGTTGACAAGTGGGTCAAGTGTGCGCCCCCGGACGCCTCCAGGCGGCGATCGGTAGCCGCCCTTGTGGCTGGTTTTCGTTTCGGGCGCGTTTACATTTCGGCTGGAAAATGAGAAAACTCTGCATCCGACGATTCCCGGATGGATTTCGACCCCGGGGGAAAAATCCATGGATTCCCTCTCGTCGCCATCCAGGTTCGGACTGCCAAATCTGCTTGACGTTCAATTTACACGGCGACGCATGGGGTACCGTATGGAAATTATAATATGTACATATACAGGGGGACCCAAAAGGATGGGACAATCCGTTACAGGGAATTTCATCGAACTTTGGCACCGATGGCGTCTACGGTCTCTTCACTTACTCTTCCAAATAAATCAAATTTCCTGGCTGTCTAAATATTACCCAACACCGTTCGTTCGATCGCAATCTGTGCCCATCGATTACGGACTTACTCGGCAATCGGTCACCACGGTAACCTCCCTCGCGATTGTCGTTCCTCTTGAAATTACACGTTGTCTCGAATACATATTAATTGATGTTCGAGAGAATCTCTCCAGCGCTCCTGTGTATACATATACCGAGCCTTCTGAGAGGACACTCGGGAGTCAAACAGCTCGAATTAATAACGATTCAATTAATAATGATTTCTCATGGAAACTTTAATCACATTACCATGTTTGAACAAACGAAGCTGTCTCGTGGCCGAGCAACTGCAGGACGTTCCAATCTCCATCGGTATCGTACGAGGAATATTGCAACAGGATCGTCTGCTCCTATCGCAGCTGACTTCACAGAGTATACTTAGTAATGTCTGATCGAATTGTGGTCTCGCGGCATGATCGAGCTCTCTCGCTAAATCACGAACCGAACACCTCTTTATCGGGAAAACGCCGATGCTTCGCCGTTAACATGGACGGCCGTCCGATCGTATCGCGGGCAATAGACCCGCTTCGAATCGGTCTCACATGACGCAACGTATCTATAACGAACGAAACTATAGACGTAGACCAGAACGAAGGAAGGACTCGTGAGAATCGAGAAGAGAAAAAGAGGAAATTGAGAGAGGGACAGAGAGAGAGAGAGAGAGAGAGAGAGAGAGAGAGAGAGAGAGAGAAAGAGATTTCGTTTATTAGCAGCGTAGATTTACGACGCGCGATGTCGACGATGTCTTTGTAGCCAAGCTGGCCGAAGCGTGTTATCGAGTAATTCTGGAAAATCGTGGCACACAGACTACGGGGCGCGACCGTTGGTTCGCGACAGTACCAATAACGTGATATATTACCATCACGTGGATTGCTCCCAGTTTCGAAAAATACTATCGGGAACACGAGAAAAATCCAGGTCACAAATTTTGGAAAGCTCTCGAAATTCTTTCAACTTATGGAAGACAATTGTTGGATCATCAACCTCCTTAATGACCCGATTGACTAAAGGTTTCAACTGATAAACGCGATCAAGCTACAGTGTCGTATGACCAACCTCCTGGCTGAGCAAAGGCCTTAACCGACCGAAGGTGAACAAGCTACTGGGTCGAAAAGCGAACATATCGGTAAAGGTTCTTAATACAGAATCCTGTTCTCCCTAAGCTATCCAGTACAGAAGCAAATATTCGAGATACATATGTACCTACCCTGATCATGGTGTAAGCCCCACTTTCCTCGTGGACCGACCTCTTCTGCTTCTCCGTCTTGGCCCATCGTAGCCTTTCGTCCTGAGGGTGAACACAGTAGATTATGACAACCGTCGACAATTGATAACACGTGCAATTAACTTTCTACACAGTTCCGAAACAGATCTAGTTTCGTTGGAGAAAAATATGACCGCGAACCTCAATAACGTGTCGTTTAGTTCCAGCACAATAAGATATAACGGTTGAACATGCTGTCTTCACAATCGCAAGGTGTTCGCAAGTTTCGAATTTTCGAAAAGAACGAAATTTGTTTCCCCCTTCGATTCCGTGCTAAGCGTTCGATCGAACGGAAACCAGAGGGGTGAGGGCGTGAAGGTGTCTGCATGCAACCAGGAGGAACGCGTTAAAACGGGTAAACTTGTAACGATTCGGCAAACAAGGGTGGGATAGGGTGCCAAGTATCGCGCCGCGTTACACACACACACACATTCCCCGTCCCCTTTTATCGCCGCGTATATTTGCACGCATCCGCTGCGCGTTTCACCGTATACATGTATATATGTATCTATATATACACGTATACCGTAAAAACGCGCTTACGCAAACCTCTTAAAATGGAACGGATTTCGCATTGCAGGCTTGCAGCGCGTCGTTGGAACGACGTCGTCGCAACGTAATCGCCCGGCAAAAATTATTCGAGCTAATTTGCCGTTTTTACGGTGGCCCGAAGAATTAGTCAGGAAAACGAACACCTTTTCTCGTTCACAGACACCGAAGTGTCTCGTAATGGAGAACATTGATGTTCACATGGCCGTTGTTCTCGGTATACATGTACCTACATATGTGTGGAAAAGTAAATGTTTTTATAGCATGTATTAATCGAAATGGTTCTCCCCGTTTTCTCTGACATTCTGGGTCGTCTGCAACGACGAATACCCCCTCGATTGGAATAAATTGGCACCACTAGTGGCAAGGTTAACGCAAACGTAACGTAAGAATTAACTCCTTAACTGGTCAGGTGGAAATCCGATTAGTTCTTATTTGTACCATACATATTACTTTATACAAATCTCATTCTTTATTACACGACCAGTTGGTTTGCACTCTCACGTAGGAAAATATCGAATATCCAAATATAAATATATATATATATATATATATATATATATATATATAGTGTAAATATTGTTACTAGTAATGTCGCGTGTTGGCATATTAGTCCGCCTTTGAATAACATAAGGAGCGTCAACAACGGGGCTTAAACAGAGCAGCCGCGGTATCAATTAGTACCACGGGAACGGGGAGAGAGGGTGGGATCGATTTTGTTAATGATTCGTAACGTGAGGCGAGATACGAGGGGATATTAAGCGACCCTCGACGCAAACGTCCCATTAATCACGGAGATCGAGCGGGCAGATCGGTGACAATGCAGGTGAGCGTCCCCGAGGAACACCTCGAAACTCGAACAAAAAGTGACCGAGGGGAAAAGTAAACACGGAGGCCTATTTCACGGAGCAACACGGATAAAAAGTTTCTATTGTTCGTACGGCTTCTCGTTATTGATACCGAAGGACCTAGCTTTAAACTTTCTCGACGTCTGAGGAAAGTTTGAAAAAATTGACACACTCGACTTATAAAGAAGGTTTTTTGTTTCAATTAATTCCAATCAGCCGATACAATTTACCGTTCCGTTATCCCGTTACGAAGCATCGCAGGTGCAGTCGCATTTCATACGCGGGGCATAACAGTAATTCCACGCAATTCAATCGCTTCCGTGTATTATCATAATCGATATTTCGTTAGCATAATGAAACGATACTTGCGTCGCGAAATGGAACACTCGCACGAAAACGATCCCGAGCTCCGTATGCCTCTCGCTTACTGCGCGAGGCACACCAGGCTTTTCGAGGCAGCAACAGTTACGCGATTAAAATTCTACCCGGTTGGAAATGAAACTTTTTCTCGGTCGAAACTTCCCGTCTTAATTGTACAGCAATTACTCCTCTCGTTCCGTATGCGTCTGTCTATCCGCATTTAAAGGAATTCCGGATGATCTTAAATCGAGGGAAGTACATACGAAATTCCGCTCGTGATACTGGAACAATTATTGCGACTTGCGTCATTCGCGTGCACGATCATCCGTCGCTGGAGTACGCTGTAAACGCGTTTATAAACGCTCAGAACCTAGAACTCGATTCTGATTCGAATTAGTACAGTGTGTATAGAGGCTGTAATTCCGAAAGATGTTTACGGTACATTCAAAATCAGTGTCTTACCGAAAAGTAGAATAAATGACTAAAATTGCTCCAAGAACTTGCATTTCTGTTTTAATTTCTGACTTATGGACAGGAGTGCGTATACGGAACAAGGTATCGCGAAATGCTCGAATGCCTGAATTCAACACGGTTTATGGGATCGTAAAGTTTGATGGGCAACATTCATTTTGAATATGAAGTTCTAAAATTGATCTGGAAATATAGAATTTTTATGGAACCTCGCATGTTCTCCATACGAACCAGATGTCCTAATACTTTTGAACGGCAGTGTATGCCTCGTGAATCGAATATATTCGTACGATCAAGAGAGCTACATATTTTGTTCGGAACGTTTGTCTTTCAACGACAATCAGAAATTAGGTAGAGAACAGGATAATCGAGCTGCGCAAGCCGTAAACTTCATTTACCCGATGAGCTAAGCGGATCTTTTCTGAGATCCTATCGTTCCAGCTGTTAAGCAAGCTCTGCGATTCCGTCTATAGTACATACAACTCTATTTACCCACCGTAAAGAAGATCAGACACACCGATAGACAGTGACACAACAGAGAAGGGAGTCGAGGAACGGGGAGGAGGGAGAACCGTGACAAGGTCAAATCGCGAGGGAAACAGAGAAAATTAGGGATATAGTTCTTCGGTGTCAGCGGAGGATCCTGGCGGCCGGCCAACCAACCCGTACTATTTCGGCTTTCGGCTGCTGTCGCCGTGGCTGCTGGTGTTCGTCGGCTGAAATTCCTGGCTCCACTCTGTCTCTATCCTTCTGTCTGCTCTATCTAATGCGTCTAGCGCCGTTTCTTGTATATCTAGGATCGCGAGCTAGCAGATCCGTCCGTAGCGCACGGTTCACATCGAAATCTGCAGCGGCGACAAAATGGTTAAAAGACATCGCTGCAACGATCGCGAGACGGTACATTCGAGCGATCTTGAGCCGACCGAACGGCGTCCATTATTCATCCAAACCAAGTTCGTCACGGTGAACGGCGACGCGGTGTTCGATTGAAATTCACCGCGGGCTCCTTGTCGAACCGACTGCGACTCCCAATATCGAATTCGTGCCTCGAACGGTATCGGAACATGTGCTTCCAGGCCCGTGGATTGAAATGAATACGCGCGAACACGGAGACTGCAGGGGGATGGTTTCTACCGCCGGCTATTACCGTCCCGTTGCCGATACCAAGCCGAAACGTAATAAGATCGGGGGCACACTGTCGCGGAAACAGCGAAATCGGAGGCGTTCGATTAGATCGCGAGAATATAGCGGCTGTAATATCGTGGAATTTCTTATCGAAGAACGTAGAGCCTCTAGAATGTTTCACGAAATTCGCGAGTCCGATGGTTATTGTTCGGCAACCGGGATACGGTTTAAAGGTTGATCTCACCGTCGCGTCGAGGGGAAACAGCACATGGTTCTCGATCCGTTTCGCGAGACTCTCGCGGAAGATCCCCGCAGGGAGCTACGGATCATCGATCCGTGAAATAAGTTGGCGCGTTCCCTACGATTATTAGTGTGAAACGAGACGCCCCCTCGACGACCCGGATGTTCGGATATTTTGGCTGCCGAAATTTTGAAGCGTTCCCTGGCCCGATAGCTCTCTCTCCTTCGTGCCAAAGTAATGGTCCGTTCGACGTGTTTTTCGGGATGATTTACCACCCGGCCACTGGGCAAGAACTCCGTTCGCCTTTAGCAAAGTTAAAAAAGTTTAAACGAAGTTGAACTGCATAACGGATAGAGCGCATTCTGTGTTGAATTTCTTTTGACGCATTCACTGCCACAGTGAAAAATGTCGTACGTGGTCAGACATACATTATTTCGTTTTCTTTAAGTCATAAATCGTCGAAAATCTATACGTTTATTTAATAGAGGATATTGGTTTTGTTTTAAATTATACAGTAAATCAACAATGAGTGTTCGAAGACTCCTCGGCACTGAACATTAAATATTTCACAAACTAATGGCCATACGCGGCTGAAACAAATACCATTGGCTTCGGAATTCCAGACTCTTTTGTTGTGCTAAACCTCATTCAAAAGCCAGCGTTACACCTGAGGGCCTCTTCGTGTCAGTGCCCAGGAACCTTCGAACACTCACGGATGATTTAGTTTACCGCTATATATCAATTTTATGCAACGTTTTCCAACGATATTTAAATAAGGGACGATTTCGACCGACTGAAAAATAATGTAAGAGAAAACTGGCGAACCTAGTGTTCGTCCGTGATTCTCTCTAACCGGTCTGTTAACGGGCCACGTTAAAGTACCGTTACGACGGAGGCTCTTTCGTCCGAGCTTAAGTATTAAAGTCCTCTCGGACTCAAGCTCTCGTCGCAGCTCGCGAGGAAACTTGACCGGACAAAGAAGTGCACGCGCGCGACTAGAGAGATGAGCGGCTTGGATCCAGGGGGACAGACCCCGTGTTCTCGGACACGACGTCGGTCGGCCCGACTGCTTCGAGCGATTGTCTGAACAGGGGAGGGATCCTTTCAACCCTTTGCTCGTTATCCAGGGCTTTTATTAAAAAGTTTCGCCAGTCGGGAATTATACCGAGGTTAATGGGGGGGAGGGCGCTGAGCTTTAATTTTTTAATCCCCGTAATTAATCCCCTGTACGCAGAGTACTCTGTCTTCCCAAGAGCGGGGACCCATTCAGTCCAAACGGTAAGTATATGTTCCGTGGGGCTGAGAATTAGTGTTCCTTGGAAAATCCGGCCCGGTACACTGGAAAAAAGAACATCTCGGGTAGCACCGATTCTCTCTGAAGCGGTCCGTCTCGCTCGAGAGGTTTTTCCAAAGCGCGTTGTCCAGTGACCAAGTCCTGAAAGAGACGAACTCGCTCACTCTCTCCAGAGAGAGAGAACCGGTCTCGCCGATCGAAGATCAAGGCCTTGTTTGGAACGGTTCGCCGGCACGGAGCTACTCGAAAACTCCTCGACTCGACGACGCTGGCCATTCATAGACACACTCGAAGCGTCTCTGATTCGCGTTCGAAAACGCTGAATTCGTCACCCCACCCCCTGACAAGAATATTCACCTACGCTTATTCCGACCGATTCTATGTACAGTAAAGACTCCATGAGAGATTGAAACTCGGAACCGCTTGAAAACTTTCACAGTGCACTACCAATCGTTTCAATACGTCACAAATCTATTTTTTGCCCGACGGCCGAGCCTTGACAACAAAAGAAAGGCGTTGTAAACTTTCTATCCAACTCTCATGGAGCCTTGACTGTATTGCAGCAGCAGAAATCGACTTTTACGAAAAGAATGACGTTTCTCAGGCATCGCATCGCGAGCTTGAACGACCCACAGACGATGCGCGATTTATCGTACATCATGTTGTACGACAAACTGTCCAGCCATTTGTAGAGATAGATCGTATATTCACAACCACGTCGTACAACGGATTTTCAGCATGCCGTATCGCCGTACGATACGACCGCGTCGTATTACAAATTTTATAACCGCGTCACGAACCTTGCAACTGTGTTTCAGACGGTAGAAGCAACTAATGTTCCACAATTATTTCTACCTGCGATAAATCGTACCGTTTGTCGACCTTTTTAAACGGCCCACAGACGATACCATTTATCGTAGGTAAAACTAATTGTACAACAATAAGTTGTTTCGACCATTTGAAAGACGGTTGTAACGTTCCTGGCGAGGGTTGTACAATTTATAGGCATACTAAAAATCTGTCGATATATCCCTGCAACTGCCTGTGCAACCCGATGTACGATAATTCGCGTCGTCTATGGGCCGTTTTACGGCTGGCCGCGAGCGAAAGTCGAGGCCGATCGTCGTCGACGCGTCGCGAGATTCTAACAAGAAACGTAATCACGTTCGAGCCAATCAACCGACACTCTTTAATCTCAAAGCATCGTCCTCGTTTCGGTCCAATAAGCTTCCCGTCTACGGTGCAATTTCACTCCCCACCCCCCTTCCTTAGCCCCTTCTAATTAGCATCCGCAATTCACCGGATAATCCGATTCCTGGAACAGATCGTTGTCTAGGACGACGAAAATTCCCTCGTCAAATTGCTCGGCGTGTCGCCTCTCGTCAGACATCTTTTCGCGGAATCTCTAGCCGCGATTCCATCGCCACTGCGATCGTTTCCCTGTATTTAGAGCCACGTGGAGAGGGCGAACTTTAACAAGAAGAATAGAGTGCCATTTCAACCGGTGTGAAAATGGTACGGCGAGGATACGCGCTTCTCGTCAGTCGTTCGACGGAGAAGCGTTTCAACGAAGACGGGAAGCGGCTATAAATTATGGATATACACCGACTGCTCGTAACTCGTCGACGGAAGCTGGATGAGAGACCGCACGGTTTACCGAACACGATCATCGCGGTACGTGATGGCGCGGTTCGAAGCAGTTAAAAGAACCCGAAGGAATAATTAATGCCCGTCACGTTCTTCTCCCAGGTGCGGTACACCTATATACATTGTGTATATGTATATGTACCTCGTGATCGAACTCGCATCGCCCCCGGCTGAGGAGTTGCAAACTTTCACGATTATCGAAACGTTATACACCAGGTTCTTCCCCCCTGTATCAAGCAGGCCAGGATCGAAACTGCTTATTAAAAACGATCAATGTCGCGGTAAGACGTCGTTCTCGTTGCGGGAAATATTGAAAATTGATCGCTAACGTTTCCCACGATCCTCGAGCGATTCCCTCGTTTCTCGTCGTCGTTTATCAACAATGGAGAACGTATTCGAATCACCATTGTTCCGAATAATTCGTCAACGAATTTCCAAGGTTTCCAAATCCCAAGTGAAAAACGACGACCTCGGTCATCCTTCTCTTCCGTTTATCCCCGCGACGCACCATGTGCGCTGGGCTTAAAGCTCGCGGAAATCGCCGATAAGCCCGGTATTAAGCGGTCCGTATGAATAATGAAGATGTTTTTGCCGCAGCAGGCCAAGCTGTCGCAAAGCGTCGTGCACACGCCACGGGAGAGAGAAAAAAATCTGTACCACGCCGTACAAGGGGTGTTGGGTGCGGGGGTTGCATTCGGCCGAGGGGGTCGAGGGGCGAACGAACGAAGTTTACGAATGGCGGCGGTAACCGCGGGCCCGGGATTTATGCCAAAGCTGGAACTCGCCACACACGTTTGCTCGAGGAATTAACCGGGGTTTCGCTGCTTAAACGCGCTATCTATTAGCCTGGGACCCCGCGAAGTATTCATCCCGCCCCTCCACCGAGTCTCGATAGCAGAAGCGAACAAGGGGTAATCCAGGTCGTTAATTTTCCGCGTGGAATCGATGAATAAGACCTGGGCGGCGTTTTCAAGATTTAGTGGGCCGTCGTATCGTTGAAACACATGAGCCAGCAGGGACTATATGTATGATCGTGTGACGAGTTACGACCGAGACACGCTGACGTGGCGGTAAAATGTTCGTATAACCGAAAACCCGTGTATCCAATCGGTGCAGTGTGTGTCGTGACGCCAGCGTACGCTGCGATAAAATAGGAAACAGTTTCGTTCTCGTGGACTCACCAGATTCTCCGGGAAGAACGCGTCGTCCTGATGCTTCGTAGGCAGATCCAGAAACACCGAGGACCGTGAACGGTCGTAAAGATCGACGTCCACGTAGAAGTCGAACAGAGGCGCCCCGTTCACCCTCAACAGCCTCGAGACCAACGGCGTGATGTCGGTGGGCGCGATGCTCCTCGGTGGTAGATAGCCGCCGAGTTCGCGTAAAAGCTCGTAAACTGAAACAACGTGATCGTCAACGAGTCTTAACGAGGTGTTCGTTGACGAACGCAAGGAGAGCTTCGGATACGAACCTCGTCGTCCACCACCGTTCGTTGTTGCATCGATAAGAAAAAAAGAAGAAAGGAAAGAAACAAAAGCAAAAAGGAGAACAACGGTCGGGCCTCGGGAAAAGGTGGCAGTCGAAACACACGGTGCGTCGAGTAGTTTCGAAGGGGAACGTTTCGTTTAACAATCGATAGCCAGATATGAACGCCGGGAGTATAATGAAACTGGGGGTGGGAGAAGAGATATATGTATAGAGAGAGAAAGACGTATGGACGAACAAATAAAGTTTGAATATCCCCGATGACTTTTCTATTTACGAACCTGGTTTTTCATCAGTGGCTTATAGTGTCGCCCATTTCGCGGCCGGGTATGCAACGATAAACTATAAATAAAAATTCACAACACACACACACACACATGCAGTGGGAGGTTGTGTATCCATTTCGAAGATCAACAAACGCGCCCTTATCGAGTTTTGCAATCCCTCCCGTGTACAGCACCACCCACCGATACCAGAAGCAGCTCTATGAACTCCGAATTTCTAGGCTTTAGCCCCCGAACCTCCCCTCTCTGTGTTTGACAATCGTCAAAGATCCCGATGACCGATAACGCTCGGCAACGTAATAAATTCCATCGTGCGGCAACTGTTTGTCCTGGCGAATCGCTGCTGCTCGTAAGTTTCGACCGCGTTTCTTTGGTAAACAGCCATTAATCGCAATTTAACGGTGTTTACCCTTCAGGTATGTAATTTATCCGCAGTCGTTGGTTGTGTGGTTTGTCTGAACCAGATAATAGGGCATAGGGAAGAAGGACCTTGACGTGGAAACGCGGAACTTTAACTTTTGGCCTGTGACTAACGAATATACTCGTCATGAAGAAATATCAATTGTTTATGTAATCGTCATGCGAGTAAAGTAATTACCATATGTTGTTTAGATTAAAATTTTTATGAAAACTAAGACATACTAAATTTTCTTCGAAAGAAACAAGCTTTATTTCCTTATATGTATGTACCACAGCTAAGAGGTTGAAAACGAAGCTACCGCGAGTAATAAATACGTGAGTCGTGGATGTCGGAGTTCCAATCGCCCGACAATCCGCGTCCATCTCGAATACAAAGGTGTAAAATTCAATTTGAACGCGCGGGTGAATTCCCAAGAAACAATCAATTTCTCCGCGACGGTAGGAGTGGTTGAGCCTTACGAGAACTTACGAGCCATGGACGCGAAATGCCGCGGGATCCGGGGGCGCTCGCTGGCTCCCCTAATGGCAATAAAATTTCTCCACCCTAGTGCTCTATTATTCGTTAGGCCAGAAGGACGGTTAAGCGGTCCGCGCACGGCCATTCGTCATCCGAGGCTTGGTGCCCCGCTCGATTCCTCGTTTACGTACGGAGCACACGCTCGACCGAAGTCGTGCACCACGCGTCGCGCGACGGTGCAAACCGCGAGGCCAAGATTCGAGACCAATAAAGAAAAACAAGAAAAAAAACGACGTAGAAAGAGAGAGAGACGTGAAAAAGAAAAACCGTTGGTCCGCGAGATGGCGTGTCGCGAACGATAATCATCGCAATATAATACGACCGCTTATAATATCATTGGAGGTGGGGGAGTGAAGGCTTATCGAGACATGTGATCACTCGAATTCATAATACAATTTATTTTCCGACGTGCGAATCGAAACGGACGTGTTCACCCGCGTTTCCCTTTTGACCGGAGCTCTCCTTCGTAGCCGACGGAGGAGGTGGGGTAGGGTGGGATGGGGCGCTGTTAGTGTCACGAACGCACTCGCCGATGGAAATAAAGTGCCTCGCGAATGTGATCTTGAGAGCTGGAAACTTACGTCGGCGGAACGACAGTTTTCCAAGTTACATATCCGTTTTTCGATCTACAGAACGGTACGACCTTGAGCCGAATGTTCTACGTAACGTCGTAAATTCCCCCCCCCCCCCTCCCCCCGCCCACGTCATTGGTACATCGTTTTGAAACAGATTTTCCGAAGTGACAATAATTGGTATGCTTGAAGCGAAAGGAATCGTTCGCAGAGCGGAAAAATGAGTTTCTTTGTAACGGCCAGTATTCAAGGAAAGTGCCTATGCTTCGTCGTGGATCTATTCTTTACCCCTGTTTCGAATCAAATATCTCGTCGATCTAGGTGTAGCGGATATTTCATGCGAAATTATCCGAGACTCTCGTCTGGGAAACGCTGCCGGAGAATTTCGATTAGAGACTTCCCCCAACACGAGGAACATCCCGAGCGCCATTAACGGGCGGTCTGGAGGAGAAGGGGTCGGTAGGTGAGGTTGATAAGGGCGTCAACGGGGGGAACAGAGGGGAATATATCCGTGCTCTCGAAATCCGCAAGTTCCCCGTTAAGTAAAGCTTCGCGTGATTTCAATCGCGCTGAACAATCGCGCGCGGTCGTGTTACATGTATATACAAAATCGACATCAACCACCGCGTCCTCCAACCCTTTCCCCCAGTCCGTTCCAACCACCCCTCCATTCTGCTCCCCTTCCTGGTTACGTCTATATCCTTGCATGACGCAAGCTGCACACATTGGCCAGATTGCTTTCGATCGGTGCCCGAAATTCCCGTCTTTTATTTCGCCGTCGCATCTTCGCCTCGCGCGCGACGGAATTGTCGCACGGTTCGCGAGGTCGCTCGCTCGAGGACACTCTACAGGGGATGTTGCATTGGACGATAACTCGCGGGCCGGAACGGGTTGGGAGTGACTGCAAATTATACTCGGTGACATCCCTCGACACACTGTGTCGCGGTACTTTAACAGTTCAAACCCCCGTGGAAACGGGGTGGCCGATTGATTGTCCTCAACAGTCGAGAGGCTGTTGCCTGGATTTTGGGGGAGATGCAAGGATTTATACAGATCCCCGGAACAACGTTTCGACAGTTTCTGTTAAAATAACCGAGGTTTGATTTGTACGGATCTGTTAACTAAAAGAAAGAAGAGAATCTTATTCGTCACGGATTTGACAAAAGTAGTATACCGAAACTGATTAGAAATGAGTACAAAGAGAAAGCAGGCTCAAGATTTTAATTTTCCATGAAACCCAAAGTTCGCACGAGATAGAATCCCATATCGTTTGCTAATCCGTGTTGACAGTAGACGGGGCTTAATTAGATATTACAGGCGCCATGAGCCAAGGATACCGTGGGCCACGTTATAGGACTCGACACGAGCAAATCGTAAACTAGAAGGATCGAGAGCGCGTGAACTCCCCAAACGCCGCCATGAATGCCGTGCGATGGAAACAATCCGGAAGTTCCATTTCCGCTACCCACAGTCTTCCCCGACTTCCTCGGCACGGGAATTCAATCGAGATACGGGCCGGCGAGAACGGCTTCGAAATTAACCATCGCCCCCTGCCCGCCCGACCGGATTAATTCGCGCGCCTCGACACCCTCGAATTCGCGGTGTTCCGCAAATGTCCACGGAATTTATCGAAAAACTCGCTTACTCTCGTTCCAATCGTTCCCGGGGAAAAACAAACAGACTCGATCGTTCGAAAAAAGAAAACAGAGTAATGGAAGGAACGCCAATTCCTCTGATCAAACCCGCGAGAATAAACTTTGTCGCGAACGACCAACCCCTCCGAGAGAGACAGAGACGCGCGAAATCAATTGTGCACTAGTATGAAACGCGAAGAGCCAAGGGAGAATGGTGGAGGAAAGCACAAAAAGGGTCGCACACGTTTCCAGCTTTTTGCTCTTCAACCCCCGTTATTCAGGTCTCTTGTGACGAGGAGACCCGAAGTTCCGGCTTTCAGCGGAAAGTGTGCTCCGCCGCGACGAGAACGACGCTGATGAAGACTACCCCCCAACGATCTTGTCCCTGCGTACGCGCGCTGTCGTCCCCAGCTAGAGAGGTGCGAAACACAAAGAAGTTTCGCGGAAACTCGAGTGAAACGATGCTCGACGAACCGCGTCGTTCCTTCCTTGTGATCGATCCTTCCGATTCTTCGAACCGATCGAGCGAGTCGAGCCTACGAATGGGCCGAGAAAAGTCACGGAAGTGGTCGACCCGATCGGTACTAGTGTCCTTGACACAGTTACGAGTCAAGCGTTAACATCGGTGAAGGGGTTAAAAAAAGACCGCTCCACGACTCTAACCCTCGAATGCACCTCCGTCCCGCTGTCTATACATAGATCTCGCTGCTTCTGTCTTCTTCTTCCATCGCGAAACAATGGCTGTGTGCCGCGGTACGGTCTTTGACTACAGACACGATGTTTCTTGTAGTGCGACTTGAAGTCTTTTTTTTATCTGACCCTAGAGAACGACTCCGAGACATCGTCAACGGGACAAGAAGGTGTTCGTCGTCCTCTTTGACCGAAAACACTGGACAGCGTCGAATTGTTGCTTCAACGAGTCTTCAGCACGATTGCCTTGGAGATTTATGACCTTATTTAACTCTGTGCAAGTAATTATGTCAATAGGACAAATAATCGGTGTAGAACGATAACTATTTGTCGAAAGGATAAATTTAACAATGGACAGTTACGGTGACCGATTGACGGTTGATTTTCGACTAAACCAGCTGGATGTAACGGTGAGAGAAACTAGGGAGAACCGAGAATCTTTTCCACTTGCTAAAAACTGTCGAGGTTTGCCTTGAATTTCATCGGTCTCTTCGGCGCTGTGTGTGAGGTTTCGCGAGAATTAGAGAAAGACTTCTATAACGACCTGTCCAGGTTCCTATGGTTCAAAATCGGCGATAAAACAATCCAGACGGTCCAAGTCATACAGCCGCTATTTCTCGACGCGACACATTTCTACTTGAACATATATAGTTAGAATATTTCCCCGAGAATAACATATCGTCGCTGTTTAAAGAATCTTCGAACAAAAGGAGGGGGGGGGGGGATGATCGAATCCCTCCGAACAAATACATATATCTCTCCGCGGAGATGACCCTCGTTTCCAAGTTCGCGGA